ACAGGAAACAGTTTTTATTTAATCCTTCCTAGGCAATCATGATGGAAATAATCAAATCAATAGCTTTAGCCTGCCGTTCCCCACTTGAGCTCTGGGGTTTAAGAATTTTTTATTCTTAATTTTTACTTAATTAATAGCAAAAGGAAAGTGGAAGGGATCTAACTATGCAAAGAATGCTTTTACATTTTCCATGTGAAACCATTTTATAGGAATGATTTCTTGTGTAGTTTGTTTATAGATCATGTATATTTGTTGATAGCTGTGGTTCCTGAGAATTATGACTACATGCACATGGTTTCAGGTACATGCACATACACACTGTGTACATACATCATTCCAAGATCATTGGATAAACAGTATCTTTGGACTGGCTCTTTGGTGCCCAATGTCTCATAATGATTTCGAAGAAATAAACAGATATATTTCTGCAGAATGGAGCATCTTTATTTTTATTCTACCTTGGCCCATCTCCTAGGACTGAAGAAAAGTGACACCATTTTAAAAATGTAAAATATGAATGCATATTTTAAATCACAGTTATAGAATGTAGTTAAAATTCCTTGCAAATTTTCCTAGCCTCTTAAAACGTGCATTGATGGAATGCTTGCGTTGAAGATAGTAATGTTACACCTTGAGACACTATCAGGTGGACAGTTGGTTTGCAGACAATGTCCTTTCAAAATTTTATCACACCTTGTGATTCTTGATATTAGTTCTTAATCAGCATGTTTACAAGTTCAAATTATTCCAGAATGTTTTCACATGCTAGAGTTTATGGTTATTACTTACTGTGTTTTAAACCAGGCAAAATGCTAATGGTTTAATTTCCCCTCCTTAATTCTCCTTCCCCTCCTCTTCCTCAGACCTAACCAGTGAAGAGTTTTCCTTATGTTTAGCATAAATAGAAATAGGAGCATATTCAGTCTGTTTTGTACGAGTTATGTTGGCTGTCTAGCACAGTGGGCCAAATACAAGTGGCCAGTGCTTGCTTACCTTTTTAAAGGACATCACAGCCTGGGATCCAAATACCTCAGAGGCTGCTTCTGCCCGTGTGAATCTCACTGCTGTTTGTGTTCTGTGGGGTGGTTCTGACGCCATATGACAGCAGGACTCTGTCCTTTGCTTGTAGTTGAGCTGAAACTAGAGAATCGCCTCCCTAAAGTTTCTTCTCCCCTATTTAGCCTCCCACAGAAGGTAGAAGACACCTGGTCCAAAACTTACTAAGTCTGCTTGAGTTTTTCTGCTGCTATTAATTATATGGCTTTTGCTGTTTTTCTGGACAGGTTGGCCTTTGTATTACTAGGATTGTTGTTCTGCAGTTTTATTCTTTTAATCTTTGTTTAAACTGCCTTGAGCTTTTGGATAGGAATGTTTTAAATAAATATGTAAATAGCCACTGCTTTCCTCTTGTGCTATAGTAGAATTCTGGCAAAATGGTAGGGCTATAATCTCTTTCTTCCTCTCTCTTTTATTCTTTCATATACAGGATCACAGAAGAGTAATTAAAAACTATTTTATTTCCACTTATTTGTTCTGTTTAATATTGACATCTCTCTACTAGTATGTGGAGCACAACTCAGTGATAATACCATTCTAATATCCTTGGGGTTATATGGCTTGAGAACAACCTGAGACAATTTTCACGCTTTGCAGTTGCAAAGTGATTCATGCCAAACCTGTGGCCTTTCATTTGTACTGGTTCCTGCCCTTCTTGAAGATGCATATTGCTGTGATTCTGGGTTCTGATTTTGGAACAAAAGTACACATCCTCATTCTTGTGCATGGATCTGTGATGCTTATTGAGCAAAAACACCCCTTCCACACACACACAACTACAAATAAAATGCCTTGGAACCACAGTGCCTCTTGGCAGATTTATTTTCTCTCTCGAGAGGGGAGAAAGTGAATACTTCAGCTGAGTCAAAGATACCTCTTTACTTTTGCAACTCCATTCTTAGGCTGTAAAACTAGAGGCTTTAAAAAACGTTTTAAAGGCAATGCCAGTAGTGCTTTTTTTGGTAAAGCTCCAGTGTACAGGTTCCGTTGTGGGGGTGCTGGGGGATGGGATTTCCCTTCCCTACACCAATTCTTTTCTGTCATGCCACTACCCACTTTTCCTTGCTCACCACCCTTTTTTCTCCTATGGGAAGTCCTCTACAAAAGAAATTTGGCCCAATCTTAATGCTGTATCAGAATGCCAATTCAAAGCAGCGTTGGATATGCCTACATTACAGTGCCTACTCTGTTACCTTGTTTCTTACTGGCTAGGCTGTGCAGGATTTCCTCTTCTTGTGCTAAGTGACTTTTTGCCATTATCACAGTCCTTCACTGTGTGCTCTAATTATCTATGATAGGAAGCCAGAGTGTTCTGGTCCCCTGTCACATCCCTTGTTGGTATGCTGTGGTTAGATACATGTATTGCAATGGTGTAAATGGAGAGGAAAGTGTATTTTGCTTTTTCACCTATTTTTGTAATTCTGTTTTAACTTGCGTCATAGTATGCATGCATAGAAGAAGTGGCTTGTGGAGTCTGAGCAAGCTGAGAATTGGGGTTGAATCACCCTTCTCCTGACCATGCCTCTGATTGTGCCCTGGTATACAATGGCATACACCCAAGATTTCAGCAGGTGACATTTGACAGATCTCAAAGCATCTCATTTGACAGATCTCAAAGCATTCCAGTTAGTATGGTTAGAGTAGAGGATTGCACTGTGTTGCATAAGCAGCACTTATGCCTCATTGTAATTTGTAAGCTCCTGAAAATAGAATGCCTTATTGACAGAAAAATACCCTGGATTCATAATATCAGTATTGAGTCTGATACCATGCTTTTAAAATTTCTTTCTTTCTTAGCTATTTATTAAGATGTATATACTTAAAATCTCAGTGCATTTACTACAAAATTGTACTATGCATTTTTTTAAATAAGCCTGCTTTCCTCCTCCTTTAAATGACTTCTTTGTCTTTTTTATTTTTGCCACCCAGAAGCCTGATTGGCATGTGTGCACACACAATAACAGCTCTGACAGGGCTGTGAAGGCTTGCTGCCTCAGGACGATGTAATAAATATGAACCTCACTGTTTTGTTTTCTGTTTTGAAACTGGATTATTTCCTGCACATGCAGGTGGAGGAGTCACAGCCTGCAGCACCCCCACTTGCTGGCAGGAATCCATCTTTAACCTTTCACTGTAGCTTGCTTACATGCAAATGAGCCACCTTTTTAAAAAACAATCCTCCACATTAGTAATGTTTGGGTACCTCCTGAGCAATTAATCAAACATTCTCCCCCCACCAAAAAAAGGGGGTAATGTACCATTCTGAGAGGAAAAGTGTTGAATTCAATCTTTTCTTTTTCCTGAGTTCAGCCCATTGTTTTGGGTGATATTTATCATCTCAAGGTAGCTTGCCTTGGTGTGGCAGTGACCCAGTGAAAGATCTGGATCTTTGTAAAAAAAAAAAAAAAAAGCCCCTTTGTGGTCTTGTCAGAATAATCAGAATAGATTATTAAACCTGTATAGCAATGAGTCAGCCAGATACCATAAGAGGCATAATAGGAAACAAATTTGGAGTAAGGCGAGAGTTAATCATAGTTTCTCCCTCCTTCAGAAGAAAATAGGAAGTTCTTGTTTCCTTACATATGAAGGGAAAAGGTGCTTTGGGCAAAGACGTTTAACTCTTGCCCTTTGCTCTTTTCTAAATCCTCCTCCCCTCTCCACAAGGTGTAGTTAGCTTTTTGAAGGGGAAAAAAGCAGATACAGATGGAATCTGGTTCATCTAATATGATGTTGACTAATGGAGTAGGACTGACTTTCTAAACAGCACATGAATATATCTGTAGCAGTGCTTGAGAGCATGCATCTGTCATTCACTGTTCAACATTGCTACAAGGAACTCTAGTTTGCTTGCCACAGATGTGGTTGCTACCAGAAGTGCAAACTAGAGATGCCTTCTGGAACGTTGCACAAGCAAAGGTTTCAGGATTATCACCTAATTTTAGGATAGTGTTATTTCTGTTTCTCTAGTGTAGTGCCTTAAAGATACAAAGAGACCAGCTAGAACCAATGCATCAGGAGCTGCCAAAGAACAGCTTGTGCAACATAACAGCCTTCCAAGTTTGTGTTTCCCAGATGTGTTGGAGTGTGATCAGCCTACATGATTTCCCAGGTTTCTAAGTTGCACAGGATGCTTCCATGGCTAGAGAAGGTTCTCTGCACCTGATTGTGGCCCTGTACATATGGAAGACAAGTATTGTAAATATGGAACATGTGCCCCTGTACATATGGAACAAGTGTCGAATGAAGACAGGGAGCCAGTTTGCAAATGTATTTCTTCTATCAAATAATTGTTTTAAAGCCCCCCTTCAGTAAACTAGAGAGAAGTCCTTTAGACACCTTGATTGCTTGTTAGTCTTAATATTCCAGACTGGGGAAATCAGGAACAGAAACAAGCATGGTAAGAAGGGGAGCAGGCGGCAGCATCCCTCAGCTTGCTCCTCCTTGCCTCTGCATCTAACTTGATACAGAATGGTGAAGAGAAATACATTCACAATATATGGGTGTCTGCAAATATGGCTGGGAAACCAGCCCCAAATGTTTGGCATGGTGTTAATCCTGATTTTGTGTATTTTAACTAACTTAGCTCTCTGTTCTTTTAAAAATGTTTTTGATTTAAGCTGTGCTGTGTATTTTGAATACAAAGTTGGCTTATAAATTGGTAAAACAAGTAAATCCTAGGAATGGTAAATATTTGATTGTTCAATCATAGCAAGTCAGTTTTGCTTAGACATTCTGTGTACATATAAAATTATCTTTTTTCTGATTTACTGAATCAGCATTGTGTCAATTAGTAGAAATGTTTTCAAGTTTTAGGTTATGTGTAGTAGGTTATTCTGCTGTATTGTGAACAATTAATGATGGCTGTTGAATGTCAACTTTCCTATTTTTGGTGAAAATAACTTTTGTTAAATAAACTATGTATGTTTTTATTCCTCTCCTGACAGCTAAAAAATCTAAGCTTGGAAGAATTGCAGATGAGGTTAAAAGCTTTGGATCCTATGATGGAACGAGAAATTGAAGAGCTTCGTCAAAGATACACAGCTAAAAGGCAGCCAATTCTGGATGCAATGGATGCAAAAAAGCGAAGGCAACAGAACTTCTGATTTTATTACTCCCTAATATAATGCTACAAGTTGATATGGACACTGGTAAAAACTATATGTAATTACAAGTCTTGAAAAGCAGCAACTTTGAGCTTCAGAACAGCTAAAGCTGAAGTACTGAAAGAAAATGCATTATGTGTTCTGCAGCCTAAATGAAAAACCTGTTCTATTTGTCATGTTTAAAAATACAATAGAAGCTTCACATTCCACTTGCTGATCCCTTTCAGCTGTGTTCAGTAGTGTTGTGTGTTGTAAAATAAGGAGTAATATTTGGTTTCTGGTAAGACTTAAAGCTATGTCCTAATTGCTCAGTAATGCAGGGCCTTAAGTTGCAATATATTTTCTTCCAATTTAAGGGCATATTTATTGTATATGCTTAGGTGATTTTATTTATTTTTATGCTTGATGCTTTTTAACTGTAAATGGTGCTTGCAGATGCTAATAGTGGAAGCCAGGATAGAGTAAGTGAAACATATGTGTGCAGAAACACTCTAAACAGAAGTCACTACTATATTAAGATCTAACTCAGGTAAAGAGTATTAGCTCCAGCTGGCTTGTAAGCACACACTTAGGTCTCATAGGATTTTTAGTTAACCCCTTGAAGTTGAGCATGTGTTTAAGCACTATGCTGATTTTGGGGTCTAGTGATACTTTGGCTACCCTAGCAAAAAGCTTACTTAGAGTCAGGGCAGAGTGTCTAATGAATGGAAGGTATGCACTGTTAAACAACTTCCATTTATTGCCAGGGGCCTTCAGAGAAGTTCCCAGCAATTTTTGGTCTACGCCCTCTCCCTTTCAGTTTTGTTGATAGGATCTTTCAGAATAAGAAACAAGTGCCTAAACAGTTTTTTCACATACTCCCTCTTCTCTCCCCCTACCCCACACCCCTTTGTAATACAGGAAAAAATGCAGGTCACTTGTTTTGGGGTGCAATTCTATCTGCCATTCCTTTTCATCTACTTTTATCAGTTTCAATATCCTATTTTGCTCCATAATAAAAGTACTCTTCCATTAACAAGTTACTTGTAAGGATCATTGTATGTTTGATTTTTTTGTTTTTTTTGTTTATCTTTTCCAGTATTCTTACCCATTTATTTTCTTTTTGTACCTGAATTTGGAAACATTTTGTTGTTGTTATAAATATATTTGAGAGAAACTGATTGAAAAACCAAAGAAAATTACTCTTCTGATCCATAGGTGCAAGCATGCATGGTTGTTTTTTCCTGGTTGTTCCCTCTTTAGCAGCTTTTCCTGCTAAATCTCAAATGCATTAAAAAAAAACCCTCTCCACAACAAGTTTTACATTTTGTTGCTGTTTAAAAAGAAATATCTGGGGAATAGCTTCCATGCGTGAGCAATAAATAGAAATTCTAAATAAATAACACCTCAAAACATATAGAGTATTACGGTATTACTTCATTGTTCAATCTGGCTTATATTGCCAGAGGAAAATATGTCTACAAGAAAAATAGAGGTTTAATCTTGCAAGAGAAAATGTGCTAGGTTTTCATGCTTACAAGAAAGGCCCACACAATGCTGTACTTGTGATAGTACTGGCACAGCAGAATATCTATAACCATTAGACTACCTATCTTTCCCATGGTGATATTTTGCTTCTGCCATGGGTATTCTGACACCTATGTTCAAAGTATTTGGGTTTTTTGAAGGCTTTTTTGAAAATATGCAACCTGGTGGATTTTCTCTAGCATGCTGTTTTATTTGCTCAGCCCTTGTGATATGTACTTATATCCAGTAGGTGAAGCATATGCTATTGCAGTCAAATAGGGTAAAATATTTTTGTGACATTGATGGACTCCAATTTACAATTACTTTAACATAGACCACATAGTTGTTTCTTTCAGACTTTTCCCCCTCATCACCAATTAAGATCCCTGTGGTATTTATATACTTCCCAAAAATATCTGATATATTGATAAATGCACACAGATCTTGTAAGGATCCCAATAGTGACCGCTAAGTAGTTCAGCTTCTGGATTTTACAAAATATTTAGTAATATTTTAGTAAAGATTTTACTAAGTATTCTAGTCTTTTTAACATATACTGCTATCATTATGAGTACTGTGCACTGCAGACAGGAAAAACACACAGCACATTCTGAAAAGCTTTAAAGCAGTTAAAGGAAGTGCAATGGGACCATTCATTTTCAGCCAAGTATGATCTTACCATGTGCTCTGTGTATGTGCACACATGCATGTGTGCACGTATTTTGAAATCTGATTATTTCCTTAAAATTATTGAACATTTTATAGTTTCAAAAGAAAAATAAAAACATTACAAATCTTTAGCTACTTATATGAAAAAGATGGGAAAAGTTCTGGTCGCTAACCTTGTTGGAGCTGATATCTTCTTGTATTTGCTCCTGGTATGCCATATTGTTGTGATGTACTGTGAAACTATTGTTGGTAATTTTGTTGTAAATCAGACTTCTGAAATGTTTTGCTAAATTTCAAACAGATATGTTAATTATAGGTGCTTATAATGTGACTTACAGAACCTTTATATTGATGTGCTTTGTACTCTATAATGCAAACGAAGCATGCACATTGCATTTTTGGTAGAATGGCCACATTTAACCTCAGGCTGTTGAATACTTTCTCCACAATAGCTACCAAACCTGCACAGTGTCCTCTGCAGGGCAAGTGAGGCAGAACTTGTCCAGTAGTGATTTCTAAGGAACTTGGTTTGAGGGTGGGAAGCATCAGATTTCTTCAGCTTGGCTCCCCAGACTCAAGCCCGCTTTCTCTCTGACCTACGTCCACCTGGGCGTAAGTCCTAAGTCCATATGGGCATCCAGTAGGAAGCAAGTCCAAAGGAACTGTGAGGCCAGCTTGTACTCATGCTTCCCATGCACATCCACTGTGCCAGTGGAGTTCTGCTTTGGCACGTGTGACTTGTGGACTTGCATAATTTAGATATTTTGCACTAAGTATTGCAGACTTTGCAACTTTTATGTAAATAATTGTGTACTTTGTGCAAAAAAGCCACTACTGTTTCCAAGCATTTGTGGACTTGATCTAACCTCAGCTTGGCCAGTGCCAAGTGTGGAAAAGAAGCCTAGCAAACAAACGGGCTGGATTCTGGCCAATTCTTGGCATCCCTACTTCAAGGTACCTCCAGAATTAAGAATAATGTCTTGCTGTGACTCCTGACAAGTGTATGGCTTGCAGTAGAGTTATGGTTATGGGATGTGTTTGGGGCCACCTGTGGTTCTACCCTGAGTAAGCTTTTCTTTATACTGATGCCACAGCTCTAGATCAGTGGGAGAGAGTTAAGCCTTGCCACTAGCATCAAGGAGTTATGGGTCCCCTCATGCCAGTTCCAGGAGTCCTGGATCCAGTCCTGTGCTGTGTGCACAGTCTAGGGCTGAGGTTTAATAGAGCAGTTCTGTGCATGTTATTCAGAAGTAATATTGGCATTTCCAGTGTGCAGAGGATCTTCACCACCCAACATCACTTGAGTACCTTTCTTTAATGTTAAGAGATTCCCCTTGGTTTTTCAGTGCAGTATCAGTTAATCTTTTTTTTAAATCCCATTAATTCCTGAGTCACACCCTTTTCATAATTTATTAAAAATGCCAAAAATATTAGTAGGTGTGTAAGCCCCATCTTCCCCTGGTATGTCTTAAGTATAATTGATTTTGACCAATCAGATGCTGTTTGACGGATTGTTCTTACTTTATTGTTACTCATGCAAACCAGAAAGATAATATTAAAACCAGCTGTCAAGCCAAGATACATAGCATCTGCTCTGATACAGTCACTGTTCAAATATGTAAATATTGGCTTAATAAGATGAAATATGCATGAAGCTTGTATTTTTGTACACCCTTTCTCTCCTTGCTTCTTAACTTGCTAAGATAAACCAAGGAAGTGTTCCATTATTAAGCAGAGTTTCCTTTTACACTGAGCAGGAAATCTGTGCTTTCCTTGTCTGGAAGACGTCAGTAACTTAAACCAGCTATAAAACATGGTTTGAGGTGCTGGCTAATTCTGAACTTGTAACCCTAGTTTCACAGTTCAGATTTAATAGAAAGTCGTGGTTAACTGATGGCTTCTTTGGTTAATTGTAGCATGCCAAGAAAGGATGGGTGATATCAGGAAAGAATGCTTAGACATACCAGTTGTGCATATTTTGGCTTATGAAGCTGAGATATGTATCTCCAAAATGGACAATTAGCCATGTTCATATGAATAATAGCCCTCAGTTAAATAAACTTTGAGCTGTTAGGAATGAACAGGAGGGAGGTTGGAAGGAGCAGTACTTCTGCTTCACTCCACAACCCCTGATTGGCTCCTTCAATAGGTTATGGAGCATGATAACTGAAACATGGGCTGAAAAATCCAGTGGCAGTGGCTAACCCCACAACATCAGTCGGCTGTTGAGTTATTTAATCCTTAAACAGCCCCTTTGCCTGGATTTGGACATTGTGCTCCACAACCTGGGCAACAGTAGATTGTGCATTGCGGAGTGAAAATAGAAGAGGCAGGTAGATGCTCTCTCCTGCTTCAGCATGAAGCCCCATGGGTTGTTAACCAGTGGGTTAACAGTGAATATGTGAACCAACTCATTGACTTTCATATGGGCCTTTTCATCAGAAATGATGAAACCTAATCACATTTCTTAGTTTGATTAAGGGTTTTATTCAGTATAGTCTAGACCAAATAGTTACAAACAAAATATGCTATTTGGAATTATGCATGTCCAGAATTCTCCCTCAATCAGTGAATTCAGTACTGAATACAACACATTAAAAAAAACACCTTGTTCACCATTCGTTGTTTCAGGCAAAAAGAGTTGTTTGCATTACATGACAGTCCACTACAGTAAAACTGTAGTGTATATGGCCACTGTGTTCAATACGCAACTCCCATTTGGGGGTTCTCATGTGACAGCAAGCAACCCTTGAACAATCCTTACATAATCCACACTCTCAAAGATCACATGACACAACTCCCATTGAGTGGGCATTGTAACCAGGCCATGATGAGCTTCAGCCTTTTATATGAAGCTGGTCACTGGGTAATAAAACTGAAATTTAGGTATAGGATTTATATGCAATTGGCCTTCCTATTATTCTGTCATATTTATTAATATTTACTGAAATATACATTATTTGTGTCCATAATCACTTTTATTTCTATTAAGACATAAATGTTTTGTAAAGTATTTATTTTACTAAAACATGCGATACATCCAGGAGAGTTAACCATCATGAAATTTTAACCCAGCTTTGTTTATGGCTTATTTCCTATCTTGTACATAAAAGTTTTAAAGTACAATTCCCAAAATTCTGAAAAACAATAGTTTGTTACCAAGCATTTTGAATAAAAGTTATTTTCCATCTATTCCTAGTAGTTGCAGTGCTGTTCACACTAGCTTTCTTTTAAGATTCAATTTAAATAAGCTCACTAGAGAATGTCATTGAATTTGGAGAGATTTACATTTGCATAAACATGGCTAGGATTGTGGTTAACTTAGAGTCTTCTGCATACTTACCTGGAAGCAAATTCCATTGTAATTGAAAGGGTATAATTTCATATGTGCAGTTCCTAGAACTGCACAAAAGCTTGCTAGCTACATTCTTTTTAATGTTAAGTCTTTCATTAGAGTTTTTTTCCCACTAGTTACCACTAGTCTGCTATTCTGAGAGCACTCACTTCCCCAGGAGTGGTTTAAAAGTAAAAGACTGTGAGCACAGAGTATGAATTATTTTTAAGGAACCCAGTAGTATGCCCAGCTTAAAGCCAGAATATTTCCCTCTGTGTATAAGTGCATTTGTGTCTCTGAAAGAGAAAGAGAGAGAATTTAAAAGACAATGCTTTGCAGGAGTGGAAGGGGGAGAGGGGGATACTGCTACTTCAGCTATCCTTTGTTTGGAGATGAACTGTTTTATTCATAGTGACATGTTTGAGCCTTCAGCCTCTTACCGTAAGTTGTAGACATGCAGCCTTCCAAGACCTTGTCTGTGGAGTGCCAGAAGTGCCCAAGCCCTTAAATCTCACCCTTGCAAGCGCTGGGAAGACCCTTGCCCTCTCCACAAGAATAACTGGCCTAGCACAGAACATGGACAAACAGCGCTCCCCAAATGAAACCCCTTGATTTTGGCAAATATGTTGCATTAAATTTAAGACATTCAAGCAAACAATAATGCTGGATACATTACTGGGTAATTTAGTAAGCCATTTTGACATGAAGGCCGCAACACTGAATGATGTACCCAGGTCCAGATTTAGCAACACCATCTAACCAAGCAGTGCTCCATCATTAGACTGGAAACAGTAATCTGATTAGTAAATATGCATGCATCCCAGGCACAGAGTGGTTTTCTTTCAGGTGTGACATAATAAATTAACAGTATTTTCCATGATTATAAGCACTATAACTTTGGGACCCAGCACTGTCTGGATTAGATTTCCTTCTATCCTGAACTAGGCGACTTCAGCAGCAAGTCACCTTGATTTTTTAATTCAGAGTGTGCCAGTGCATGCACTTGTACAAGTATCTAGAGAGAACATTCAGTAACACAATATGGATGGCCCAATGGTCTTGTTTGGTATAATGTTTGTCTGTGTTCCCATTCATTGTGTAGCACCTGCAAGTAATTTAGAAGACAGGAATGCACTTTGAACAAACCATATTCTTACACATATTAGTTTCAATAATTTATTCAAGTAGCAGAAGAAAACATAACCCAAAATAAGGCTGATTTGATTAGCAATAGATAACATAATTATAGGCTTCTCACACAATATAGTGTGATGGATTATCTAACAACATTTGTTTTAGCTGTTTAATCAATTTATCTAAGCATTCATCAGGGAAAGATCTATTGGACACAGGAATTCAGCCTATCATTAGAAATATATCTTCCACCTAGTAGTAACATTCAGTCACAGTGATCTTGTGGTATATACAAATTCAATGTTAAGTCAAACGCAATACTGGACAGAATATTCTGATTTGCAAATATTTACACTGTTTGGTGTATTATGCAAATAAATTTATCCTTGTTTATCTCCGGAAAGTCTCAGACCCACTGAAGGTTTCAGGTACCTGCAAAGTCCACCTCTTCCAATGTTCTGTCATGGCCGATGCAGTTCTCCTTGGAAGCTTGTGCATATATGTGATTTACATTTATACTTGCCTTTCTTTAATTGAATTCAAGGTGCTAGTCATTAGGTTTCCAGCTAGTCACCTGTTCATACCAGTACTTTTTTTTTTTTTTTTTTGCTTCTGCAAGCTAGAATTCCCTGCAATTTGTATATAGCAGCTAACAATCAAAAATACTCTGCCAGTTTCCCTCCCACCTACCCAAGTGTTCCATTGTTGGCTTCCATAGCCAATAACTACAAATAGATCTATAAAGGAACTAGAAAATAGAATAATAAAAGACAGCCCATTTCTCTGTCCCTAGATTATTTGTTTCTAAAGCAGGGAATAAACAAACAGCTTAGTTGTTATGATAGCAAAACTGAGACTTAATTTGGAAAACGCACTGCCCAGAAAGACAATTCAGGAGGAAGAGATTTTGATAATGAAATTCTGATTTGGATGTGTGGCATCATAAGTTTTATCATACAATTATTGCTGTATGGATTTTTGTTACTGCCCTATATGTAAAGCACCTATGAAATGCATTATAATAGTAAATTATTTAACTTGAATTTGAAATAATGTAAGAGCATATATTTCAAAAAGCTACTTTGTAAAGCAAAACACAGTGAAACTTTACTACAAAATATTGTTCTTTAGTGTAGAGCCATCTGTATTTGAAAATTACAATATACTTCTGAAAATAATATGACAACAGTTGAATCACAACTGTGATCACATTGTGTGAGCAGAGATTGGACACTTTCCACTCGTAGAAGGCACCAGGCTCTAGCAGAGGCTACTACTGGAGAAAGAGTGAAGAGGCACTCTTCACTTATTTCTCCTGTCCCCTTAAGTCCTCTATGATGTACGTCATTAAAGAGTCCCTTCCAGAGACTCTATGATGTACGTTGTTAAAGAGTCCCTCAGCCTTCCAGAGCAGCTTTTCTAGATGCCCAAGGCTACAAAGAAAAGGAGGAAGTATAAAGTTAATGCACATGCCACCAGTCCAGTAAATGGTACTGAAATTTGAGAGTGTACCTCCTACCTAAAGTAAACTTTTCTGAGACCAATGTTTCTTCCGTTCATGGTACAGAAAACAATTGCAAAACCTCCCACCTCTACTTCACTCACTTGGTGAGTAGTGGAGAAGAGAGTCTTTGCTGCTGAGTGGAAAGCCCACAACTACTTCCCTTGGAGGAGGGAGTGCAGCCCTCACACGAACAAAATGTGCTCACCCTGTCCTAGGGCTGAAAGGAGAACAAGAGAGAAATAGCATTAGCTATGTCCAGCAGCCAGAAACGAAGTTAAAGAACTTCTTTCTCGATTCTTAACTTGTAACAAAAAGAAAAGGGGCATTTTTGCCTTTATATCAGGTGTGGCAACCTTTTTGGGCCTCCCAGGCAAAGTGGGGTTAACTGAGGTAAAAGGGTACAGCTTCCAGATGGGGCTGCCCCCCACCTTTTTTACTTTTTCCCATGGAGAAAAGGACTTGGCCAGCGCCAAGGAATTCAAGGGTGTTTATGAAACTGGTTCAGTGGGGAAATCTTTCCGTTATCTCTGATCTGGGTTATGCAGGGCAATCCTCTTGTCTTTAATCACAAATAAGAGGTAACATCTGTGTTCCTTTTCTCTTCCAGAAGCCCCTGGTAGCCACCAAGTCAACTGACAGGTCATGGAGAAAGGAGCATCCTCAGAGCGTGTCCAACCCTCTGTGGGGACTTCCTTGGGCTGGAGGTTCCCTGCTGCTGCACATTAAGAGAAGACAGTTTCCCTCATTTTTTTTCTTGGGAGGAGTATCTCTTTTGGAGACAAAAGATTAATGTTTGTATTATTACTCAGGGAATCCCTACTTTCAGTAAGCCTTTGGATTCCTGGGCTCTTGATAATCACAGATGTGATCAAGTTGATTGGAATAAATATTTCACTATTAGATTCCATGAGGTTGCTAATTGTAAAATCCAGCCGTGATTTGCAAAGCCTGAAGCTGGACCAAATAAGAACATGTGAAGACTTGTGCTGGAATAGATCAAGGTCCATCACATCCTATTCTATTCACACAGTGGCCGGCTGTCCATGGGAATCCACAAACTGGACATGTCTGCATCAGCACCTTCTCATCCATGCTGCACAATAGCTGATGTGCATAGACATACTGCTTCTGATACTGGAGGTAGCATATAGCCATCCAGAGCTATAGCCATTAATAGCTCCATGAATTTGTCTAATCCTCTTTGAAAGCTCTCTAAATCTTGTAGAAGTGAATCCTATAGTTCAACTATGTGCTGTGTGAAAAAGTATTTCCTTTTCCCTCTCCTGGCCAATCAGCTTCATGTGTTGAGCCTGAGTTCTAGTATTATGAAAGAGTGAGAAAATTGTCTCCTTATCTACTTCCTCATATGTACCATGCATAATTTTGTTTATCTCTGTCATGTATCTTCTTACTCTCCTTTTCTCTATAATGCAGGTGTTATAGTTCACTTTTTCCATTACAATGGTTGGTCAGTAGGTTCTTGCAGAGATCTATGTCTTTAAATCTGTCTGGTTTCCATGCTCAAAATATTTTGAAGGCATTCATTCCCAATTTCCCAGAGCTATATTTGGTGCACCTAGGGATTCCTGGTGCTACCCTTAATCTGGAAGCTGCATTAACTCAGGTTGTTTGGCATGTTTCACTGCTGCCTCTTGCTTATTACCAATTTCCTTTATTCCAGTTGATGACAGATTCCTGCAAGCCCACTTGGAAGAAATAATGCAGAAAGATGTTTCAGTGGAGTTGTTTCCCTGTTACTGGGAGACAACTAAATTTGTTGTTAATCAGAGGCCAATATATATAGATTTTCAAGACCCCTTTAGAGTGTACAAAATATAGGTGAATGATCATTACCTGGCCCAAATTTAAAAATATACTATATCTTGATTATAGAGCAAGTTGCTAAATATCTCAAAGCACTCATCTGGATTAGATGCTCTATAATTGTTACATGCCTGTAGTACATATTCAGGAAAATGAATGTCAGTTCCTATGGAAGGTAATAAATAGAGGGGAAATGGGCTAGGGCTAACCCTTACTCCAATATTAAGAATGCAGTCAACATACTCAAAATCCATATACCACTATGGATACCATCACCTACACTGAATTTCTAAAATCCAAGGTTCTTTAGGGCACAATCCAACGCCCTCTGATTTGGATGTATGTAAACATGTCTAGATTAAGTTCTGGAGAGGAAAGGGGGCTGGGCCCAAATTT